CCAATGAAGGCCACTTGAAAATGCCCATCAAATTTTAAAATGCACATATCAATTGACATGACCCTTCTACTTCTAGGACTTTTTCCAAAAGAAATACTTGTTTGTGTGCCCCACACAACATCTTGTACATGTATACAAGAATTTCATCACAGTATTGTGTGTAGTAGTAAAAAAATTAAAATCTTCTAGCTCACTGTCAGTAAGGAAGGCAACAGTTAATTATGGTATATTGATTCTATCCCAGGCATCTCTGATTCATCATTCTTGCAAAAGACTTCAAGATTCTCTCCTATCTTTTAGGACATTGGCATTCACACTTCCTCTTTATAGACAAGACAATGATATAAAACAAACAAGGTCTGAGGTGTCTGGGAAGGCTTTCTGAAGGCATGTCTTCCTTACATACTTTGCCTAGCTTACCACCCCTCCACTGACCACCCCCCACCACTCAACCCTCCTGTAGCCTAGATGGAAAAAGAATTTAACTTGTAATACAACCTCAATACATGGCAGTCTATTCATCATTCCTTAAATAATTACAAGCCTATAGGAATCAATACTTAAGACCCTAAAATAAAATTCAGAATTGCAATATCACTATTTCCAGTATTATTAAAATAACTAGCATACACAATCTTTTGAAGTTATCAAATACTTCCAATCTAGTATTTAAAAAATTTTTACAACATCCCTGTGAGTTGTACAAGACAAATTGTTACCCCATTTCATAAGTAAGGAAACTAAGGTCCAGAAAAGGAATGTGATTGACCCAAATCCCATAGCTAATAATAGGCAGAGCCAAGATGAGTGTGGGCTTTCTGACTGTGAAACATCTGTTCTTTATACATAAATCCAGCTCATGCCAAAATAATTAGTAATATTCCATTTATCCAGATTCTAACCTGGTAAATTTGATGCTCAGGAACATTTACCCTAACCCAGAAATGCCCCTAATGCCCCTGTAGCAGCCCCCAGACCAGCTCTCTCAAAGTCTCCCCCTGGAGCCAATTCCTTTTTTCAGGAGGCCCTGACTCAGAGGCTTTTGCCTCTAGTCCAGGAAATTGTTCCTAATCAGACTCCTGGGTTTCCCTGCCCCTGAAAGATCAGAAATAGAGAATTTGAGTGGGTGGGAGTGGGGGCAGGAGGAGCCTTTAAGAAGCAAGCTGTGCTGTTCTCACTGTTTTTACTCAAACATGAATCTTTGTTCTCCGATGCAAATTTTGAGAAGTTGGTGCCAATCTGCTCTGAACAAAAGAATTCTGGTCTGAACAAACAAAATTTGGGATGGGAAGTCTGGCTTTCCTAGTTGCGCTTTTGACCATCTGCCTCTACTCACCACCCGCCACACTGGATCTCTCCCAAAGGTAGTGGTGAGCTTTGAGGAAAACTTCCCAGCTTGCTTACCAGTAATGGATGTCAAAGAAGCCCAAGGGTATCAAATGTCAAGGTTGCTAAAATAACATCCTTACAACGCTTAGGAGGTTGAACCAGCTGACCCTAAGAGCCTTCCCTCCACACCTCAAAGACCTTAGTTAGGGTCCTGTGAAAGAGGGAGGCCTTGATTTCAATGGATATTTATCAAAGGCCTAATCCTCTACTTCCTCTAAATAAAATTTTCTATTGGCTTTGCGTATATAATATTGTATTAATGGTATTATTTTAAATATATATTTTCATTAGGCAAATAATTGTTTAACAAAAGTGTACCTTTTCCTTGTTCTCATCTCTCAGCCATATACCAAAAAAACTGTAAATGGATTAATTTTTTTTTCCGCAACACTACATTGAATGTTATAAGCATTTTTTCCAATTGACAGAGATTTTTAAAATAATTTTAGTAGCTGCATATTTCATTCCACATTTATACCTCAGTTTATTTAACAGGTTATTATTGGATATTGAATTTTTTCATAATTTTAGCAAAGCTATAAATAATGCCTCTATGAGGATCTTTGTGAATAGGCCTTTATTTTCTATTGAATGATTTACTTTAAAATTCTAGGAAGAAAAGTATTGGATTGAAGGATATATGAGTATCATTGTAGTTCTTCCTAGTTCGGGCAAACATTTAAAATGAAAGTCAGTCCACCAACCTCAGTATTGGACATTGACTTCAATTTTGCTGCTGTTAATCACAACTGTATTTGTGAGGTTTTTTACAGTTTAATATTTTCTTCCTCTATCCTTTGTTTAGTTGTAGCTACCTTAAAACAGCTTCACTTATCTTTCTCACAATCATAAGGACAGGGGCATTTTAAAACACGTGTGTGTGTGTGTGTGTGTGTGTGTGTATCTCACATTTATGTTCAGTTGAAAAAAATACGACCTAGCAGCTCATATGGTAAATATGAAATAAAGAAGTCAGTCAGCCTGTATCTGCCACTTTCAATAATGGATTTTTCTCTGGAGACAAAGGAATGAGCCTTTGTATCTAAATGCCTTCTTCACTGATTCCATATGCCCATATGCCTGAACCGAGTAAGCACGGCTATTAAAACAAAAATCCAACCCCATCTCAGCCCCATTGAATCAAAATATCCAGGAGGGACATGAGCATCTGTTTGTGTAAGTTGGAGTTGGGCTGGATTCTAAGTAAGCATCCTAGGTGATATTTGTCAGCAGGGATGTTTGGAAACACCTGGTTTAAACCTTAGGACATTGGGAGAAGATCACAGGGAGTCAGATTTCTAGTTACCTGAGAGAATTCCAAACAGTCAGACCTACCTAACGGTAGGGGAGGCAACTTATTCCAGGGAGGCAACTTATTCCTGTCAATGACGTTTTGTTTGGAGACCAGATTACCACAATCATCTCTCGGGAGGACTCCTTTGAGTTTGGGAGGCTTCTCTGACCACGGCACCAAAACTCTACAGAGCATCTCCTACAAGCAGGCAGAACTAGAGGCCTTTAAGTGTCTTTTCTACCCTAGCACTGCTTGATTCTGCGATTTCAAATAATAAAACAAATAGTTCACTCATGTAGCTTCAGTATTTTCCTATTTATCTCTCCAAGAAGACATAATATGATCTTTTGATTCGTAATAGAACTGGAAAGCAAAACTATCTTTGACTCATAATACTGAGGATATTCTAGGTCTTTTAGCCACATTCCCCTTTGATGTTGAAATCCCTGTTATGACACCACAGTAAGTGACCCTCCAGCCTCCAGTGAAGACTTGGTGACTTAGCGCTCCCTAACTCCATAACAACCCTTTTGTAGGACCATGAAAATCATCATCATTACCAACAATGTACACAAAATCCCATCAATTGCATAAGGGGAGGGAAAACTGAGTCACTGGCATAACTGAGGCCTCTTGATTTCTAAGTCCCTTTCTGTGGGTTCGAATGGTTTTATCTGTTTGGGGTGTAAAGGAGGTCAAATCTGGGAACCTGTTCTCTAAAGAAGTAACCACCACAGTGCTGTGTGTTGAGCCCAAACATGTATAGATTTCAACCTCCTTGAAACTCCTCTTACTTAATAATCATTGCACGAAATGTCCAGTGAACTGTGAAGATGTGTGAAACATGGGGGGAGGGAGGGTAATAGCAGGGAGGGGGTCACAGCCTGTACCGACCCTCTTCAAAGCACCGTCTGCACCGGCAGCAGCAGCAGCATCCCCTGGGATGTTTGAAATGCAGAACCCCAGGCCCCCAGTCATACAGAACCAGAGCCTGCATTTTGACAAGGCCCCCAGGTGACTTGCAGGCACAGCACACTAACATTATATGACTCATAGAGATAAAGAACGTTATTTAATATTTTTTTCTGATTATAACAGCGGTAAAAACTCATACTAGAAAATTTGGAAAGCATCCCCTCATCCCTATTCGGATCCTTGAGGGAAGAGGAAGGCAGCTTGCTTGGGGGCATAAGCAATCAGGCTCTTACACTTCGTGATTACAAAGCCTCTCCCAGGTCTTTCTGTAATTAAGAGAGCAGTTATGTTAAGTCCAATATGACTGGCCTGGGGTAAGGGTCTCCTGTACCCTGTGCTCCCCTGGACAGCAGCTTCCCTCCCGGGCTCTGGGGCAGCCAGAAGAGGCAGACTGGGAGGGGCTGCCGCAGTTGTTCACTTGGGCAGGATGTCAGAGGACTGGGACTCCGGCTTCCCATCACTGTTCTCAATCTTCTTCACAACCACGGCCCCGGTGGAGCTGGTGCGGCTGAAGCAGCTGGAACCCGCGCCAGAGCCAAAGCTGGAGCCCAGGCCGTAGCTGAGGCTGGAGCTTGTGAGGCCGCCATAGGCCGTGCTCAGCCCACCAGCATAGCCACTGGCGGTCTTCATATGGACACTCACGTTCTGTATTCCAGACTCCAGCCGTCTCTCCTCGCCCTCCAGCAGCTTCCTGTAGGTGGCGATCTCTACGTCCAGGGCCAGCTTGACATTCATTAGCTCCTGGTACTTATGCACCTGCAGCGCCACATCCTGCTTAGCCCGCTGCAGGGCGGCCTCCAGCTCGGACAACTTGGCGTTGGCATCCTTAAGGGCGCTGCTTAGCATCTGCGATGGCAGCCTCCAGGAAAGCCCTCTGGCCTTTTTGAGGCCCTCAATCTCAGCCTGGAGCTGGCTGATGTTCCGGTTCATCTCGGAGATCTCAGTCTTCCTGCGCCGCAGATCATCCCCGTGCTTCCCAGCCAGGGTCTGCAGCTCCTCATACTTGATCTGGTACATGCTCTCAGTCTCAGCCCAGCTGCGGTTGGCAATCTCCTCGTACTGCGCCTTGACCTCAGCGATGATGCTGTCCACGTCCAGAGAGCCGCTGTTGTCCATGGACAGCACCACAGACACGTTGGAGATCTGGGACTGCAGCTCCCGGATCTCCTCTTCATACAGCTGCCTGAGGAAGTTGATCTCGTCAGTCAGCCCTTCCAGGAGAGACTCACCTGTACCTTGTTCATGTAAGCTTCATCAACCTCCTTCTTGATGAGGACAAATTCATTCTCCATCTCTGTATGCTTACTGATCCCATCCTCCTACTTGTTCTTGAAGTCCTCCACCAGCCCCTGCATGTTGCCAAGCTCCGCCTCCAGCTTCAACTCCTCCTGGCCCAGAGTCTCTAGCTGCTGCCTAAGGTTGTTGACGTCGCTCTCGAACTTGTTGTCCATGTTGCTCTGAGTCGTCTTCTGCTGCTGCAGGAGGCTCCACTTGGCCTCCAGCATCTTGTTCTGCTGCTCCAGGAACCTTACCCTCTAGATGAAGGAGGCAAACTTGTTGTTGAGGGTCTTGATCTGCTCCTTCTCCTCAGTGCACACAGCCTGAATGTTGGGGTCCACCTCCAGGTTAAGAAGGCTCAGCAGGCTCTGGTTGACTATGACAGCAGTGATGCCTCTCATGCCACTGGCCCCACCATAGCCTCCACCCAGGCCACCCCGAAGGTTGCTGCTGCCCACTCAGGAGAAACTCAAGGAGCTGAGGTAGACATCAGGCCCACTCATGTAAGAGTGGCTGCTGAAGGCCGGGGGGCCAAAGGTGGACACCTTGTAGGATTTCTGGGTCACTCTGATGGACGTGGTGGAGGCAGGAGTCGAGGCAGGTGGGCTGAGCCAGGTGGAGATTCCAGAAGGAGTGGAGATGGGGCTTTTTTAATGAGATGGGGTCTCACTATGTTACCCAGGCTGGTCTTGAACTCCGGGTCTCAAGCAATCCTCCCACCTTGGCCTTCCAAAATGCTGGGTTTACAGGTGTGAGCCACCGTGCCTGGCCTAGATTTTGCATCTGGTTCCTTTGCTCAACATTGTTTGTAAGATTCATCCGTGATGTTTTTCTTGTAGCAATAATTCATTTTCATTGCTGTATATTATTCCATTGTGTGAATACACACAACTTTTCTTTTGTATTTTGTTCAGTGTTTCTAGCTCTTAGCAGGAGCATTAGGCTGCTACAGCCTGCTCAACCATAGCCAGAAGCAGAAGTCCACTTATTTATTTTTGTTAAATTCTAAGAAGTAGAATTCCTGGGCATAAAGAAACAAATATTTTTTAGGCCATTGATGCACACTGTTCATTGTTTTCCATAAAAGCTGTGACAATTTACACTCAAGAAAAATCATGAAGTTCTTCTGAGGGATGAGCATCAAGAGTCATCCTAATAATAACAAAAAGTTTTAAATCTTACTAATAGTATTTAATATTGTCAATCTTGTATTAAAGCTGTTTCATATATAAATTATAAATATTAAAATGCTGGTATCATATTTCATAAAGGTTTTTGTGCCAATTTATTACTTAATTCTCACAAAACTCTGAGGGATAAATGTTATTGCTGTCTCATTTTAAAGATGAAGGAACTATGGCTCAGAAAAACTGAAGTGTCCCGTCTATGTTACCTGGCTAACAGCCAACATAGTCTTCCTTATCCATGCCAGGCTACACCTTGCCTAAATTGCTGAAGAAGCATCCCAGATTCTTCAGGGTAAAATAGGTACCAGGGAGAAGGACATGTCACCCTTTTGTATGGAAATGAGCATCCTTCAAAGCCCAGTTCAAATGACAACCCCTTTCCTAAGGGACTCTTCCCTCCCTACTCACCCTGTTGGAAGTAACACAACCACAGCTTTCTTCTGGAAGCCACACCCCTATACTAGAAAGGGGCCCTTGCCGATCCTGGAATGTCACCACTGAGATCATTTGGTCCAGGGATTACAAACAGGGAGCACACACCAGTGAGGCTCCCCGCTTCCTTGCCAATGGCAGACATAACAAATCAATCACCATCTAGCCGCAGTCTCCCACACTGAGTCCATCTGAGATCATCTCACCCTCAACTGCCACGCTGGCTTTGTCTCTGTTCCTTGTGCATGCCAAGTTCCATCCCACCTTGTGATGCACACATTGGCTGCAGCCAGATTTCCTCATGACTGAGTTGTTCTTGTCCTCTCAAGTCTCAACTCAAATATCACCTCCTGCTGATCCCCACAAATCTAAGGTAGCATCACCTTCCCTGAGTTGTCTTCTGTTATGATCATTTTTAAATTTAATTTATTTAGCTGTCTGTTTTTATGGTTGTTGTATCCTGAGAACTGAGCCTCTTCTAAGTTGTTCACCTATTCCCCAGTGCCTGGAAGAGTCCCTGGTACTCAGCAGTTGCTCAATTAGTAGTTGCTGAATGAGTGAGTCAATCAAGATGCAATTTTCTGCTGAGTTCAGGTATGACCTGAAAAGCCTTCCCATCACAGTGTTACAGCCATTCGCTACCAGGAATCAGAAGTAAAATGTGGGATAAAATCTTTTTGCCATGCCTAACTTCCTTAATTCCACATTTTACAGATGGGAAAACAGAGGCCCAGAATAAGAGACATGCCTTTCCCAAAATTACAGAATGAGGGAGGGACAGAGCTAGGACTGACACCAGCTCCTCCCACACCCCCATCCTTCCTGCTCCTCCCCAGCACAGGGAAGCGCCTGAAGAGCTGTCGTAATGGCTCAGTCACAAAGCAGAGGATCCTGGCCTCCGAGCTCAGGAGCTTGCCTATGAATTACGCACCTAATTACCAGCTGCCTTTTTTTTTTCTATTCTGTGGGTAAAAGTCTGATCACATAGAAGATTCTCTCTGTGTTTCCGTGGATACCAAGCAATCTAATTTCAAACTCCCTTGCAAATGGCAAGTGAGTGAACTTAATTTTAATAAAAACAAGGAAAATCATACGTGTGAGCTTAATAAAATCTAATTTGGGCAATTTAGAGCTCAGAAAATAAAGCCTTTATGTAAAAACTAGCAATTAGCTTTATGAAACAATACAGTGAACCTTGGCATAGGGGAGAGTTGGGAGCTGGAGGACTCTGAGGATAAGGAAATGTGGCAATAATATAAGAAAGCTAAAGGGGCAGGGAGCCTGGTTCCTGGGGTCAGAGGGTTCAAGTTCAAGTACACAAGTGACCACTTCTTAGATCTGTGACCTTGGGAGAGTCACTTTTCCTCTCTAGACCCTATTGTCTAAACCCTAGTGTCCTTGTTTATAAATGAGGTTAATAAAACCTCCTTGACCTAGTAGAATGGTTGTACAGACAATAAGAAAACAAATAGACAAGAGCTTTGTAAAAGTGTCCAGCAATTATTAGCTCATCATTTGTCCCATTTAACATCTTCCCAGCAAAGAGAGAAGAGAAGGCTAGTGGAGACTATCACCTGGATCGGGGATGTAGGACGGAGTGGTGTTACTGGAGAGGGGTCCTGATCCAGACCCCAACAGAGGGTTCTTGGACCTCACACAAGAAAAAATTTGGGGCAAGTTTAAAAAGTAAAGTGAAAGCAAGTTTAAAAAAAGTAAAGGAATAAAAGAATGGCTACTCCATAGGCAGAGCAGGGGTGTGGGCTGTTCGACTGATTATACTTATCGTTATTTCTTGATTATATGCTAAATAAAGGGTGGATTATTCATGAGTTTTCCAGGAAAGGTGTGGGCGATTCCCGGATCTGAGGGTTCTTCCCCTTTTAGACCATACAGGGTAACTTCCTGACATTGCCATGGCATTTGTAAACTGTCATGGCACTGGTGGGAGTGTCTTTTAGCATGCTAATACATTGTAATTAGTGTATAATGAGGAGTGAGGATGACCAGAGGTCACTTTCATCGCCATCTTGGTTTTGGTGGGTTTTGGCCAGCTTCTTTACTTCAACCTATTTTATCAGCAAAGTCTTGTGACCTGTATCTTCTGCTGACCTTCTATCTCATCTTGTGACTAAGAATGCCTAACCTCCTGGGAATGCAGCCCAGTAGGTCTCAGCCTTATTTTACCCAGCCCCTGTTCAAGATGGAGTTGCTCTGGTTCAAATGTCTCTGACAGTGGGGGTAGAGGGTAGGTATGCAACCTTCCACGTTCACCTTGCATTTAGATGTCACAGACCTATGGCACACTGCCAGAGGTGACTCCCAGCAATGGTTTACAGGACCCAGAAGCAAATCTCCAAGTCAGAGTGAGACTGGGGGAAGACCTAAGGCTCTTGACATGTAATCACTATAGCCCAGCACATCTGCCCCGCTGACAGGTCCCCTTTACATAGAGATCTCCACAGGAAGACTGTATTATTCCCATTCTACAGAGGAGGAAAATGAACCATTGGAAGGTGCAGCAGCTAAACTCAGGTCACACAACTAGTTGACCCAGCCAAGACTCAAGCCAGGTTTCCTGACTCCATCCTCCAGCCCGCTTACCAGCACCTCCCATGGTTACAAAAGCAAGTGACTGTGAGACTGAGAACCTGCTATATCTGTTGTGTCTCTTCTTCCCCAAGGGCATGTGCAGCTTCTATTAGAACTGCTAGGAGCCACATCCGCAAAGAGCGTGGTCTTCATCGCACATCACTCCAGAAGCAGTGGCTTTTCCACTCCAGGCAGAAAGCAAATTTTTCCTAGTGCCTTCCCAGAAGCAAAGTGGGTAATTAATTGCACTGAATAACACATTAAATGTACTAATAATTGGGTAGTCACAGCAAAATGATTACTTTGAAGAAATATTACCAATTCCCTGTTGTACTTAACATTTCTCCTTATTTATCATTACCATTTTAATCAATAATAGTCACAATACTAATAAATCCATCTTAATTTTAATTGTTTTCAATTTGATGTACCAGTACTTGAGTATTCTGAGCATACTTCATTATTTATAATAATTTAAGATCACTTAAAGGCAAATTACATAGTTTGTACTTTCAAGTAGGTAGGTAATTATCACAAAGTTTCTCTAGATTCAACATTTCCATGCACTGAGCAGTGTGAGGTGTCAGGTGTCTGCCCTTTTCTGTTAGGCTCAAGGGTCAGGGATGGAGAGGATAAAGGAAGATTCTCAAAGCCTCCACTTGAATTAGCATATTCTGGCCTTTTAAAAGAGGCTTGGGTCCCTGAAAGTATGATTAATAGCTCAATGGCTTTGCCTTTACTTATGTTGTCTAGCCATAAATGCAGTACTCATCCATTCATTCACCAATGCCCAGAGCCAAATACTGCACTAACACCAGAGACAGAGAGACAGAGCGAGAAACTTAGAAAGTGTGAGAAAGGCTGACTGTAGTCAACAACCAGAAAAGGTAAATAACATGTAACTGAAGGAATCGAGGAGTACTTCCGGGAGGCAGAGGCATTTTCCTTGGTCTGGAAGGATGGGTAACATTTGTTAGGGAAGTGAGGGAGGGAATGGACTCCAGCTTTGGCAGAAAGTCAGTTAGGAGGCTCTGGCAGAATGGGGGCTTTTCAAGGCAACAGTGGAGATAATGAGAGAGAAAGTACAGAAGGAAGAACCATAGCCTGTGTAAAATTGACCCTCGGATGTGGCTTAGAGTGGATGATTGGGAGTTAGTGATGCCAGAATGGAGAAAGAGGGAAGCCAGGAGGAGGAAGCCAGGTGGAAGAGAAAAGATGGGTTTCTTAGCAAATCACTAAGTTCTGAGGGCCATAGAGTAGCCAGGGGAGAAATCTAGCAGGTAAAGTGGAGAAGCTGGCTAAAGCCCAGAGGAGTAGACAGCACTGGAGAGAGGGTCTGGAAACCCTCTGGTAGAGAGTCCCATGGGAGAGAAGGGTGACAGTCACAGCTCCAACCTCTGTGGCCTTCACTTCACAGGTATGTACTAAACTGGCCACAGCCTCATAGTCTTCAAGCCCCAGCTTGAAGGGCCCAGGTATGTACTAAACTGGCCACAGCCTCATAGTCTTCAAGCCCCAGCTTGGAGGGCCCAGCCGAGAAAGTTTCTTCTCCCCTTCTCTGTCCAGGGCCAGCATAAAAGGCACATCTTTTTGAATCAAATTGTACTGAATTGAAATTGCACAACTGTGTTGTCAATGGCCCTGTTTTGTGAGGACATACTGCTGCCTGAAGGGGAGGGTGCAGGGGTTAACAAGACCCAGAGAAGTCATGCTGATAATGTGGAGATTAACAGCAATGGATGGGTCTACGTCTCCACTCTGCATGGCTGGGGTATCAAGGTCCTGGCACCAGCAATTATTTGCTAGGGTGTTGCAACTGGTGCTAACGATTTCTAGAAACCTAGAAGTTATAGGAGAGGAATTTAATGGGAAAGAGGCTCCACCTCCTGGTAATACTCAAAACCAACATTTCTTCAGCGCTTTACAGTTTATAAGCTTCTGTCAGCTTTTAAAATCTCATTTAACTGTCTATCTTGATCTGGGTGGTGGTTAGCAGCTGCACATGTATGTAAAAAAAATCATTGAGCTTATAGTTAAGATTCATGCCCTTGAGTCTATGTTAGTTATACTGCCATTTAAATTGTGTAAATAAATACATGGATAAATAAATAACTTCTCATTTAATTCTTCTAACCATCCTATGAAGTTAGCAACTTTGTTATCCACAAGTGAAGAAACCTGAAGCTGAATGATTAACCCTGGATCCTGGGCTGATGAGTGAAATGACTAAGAAGCCAGAATGGGCTGGCATGGATTCCTCTGGTGCAATTTGAATAACAGGGATTATAACATCAACAGGGCTTGGAAGGACTGAAGAGGGAGCAATCATGGAGCCAAAGGGCTCTTTGAGGTCTTTGGGGATGAGATCTGCCGTCTCCACCTGGCCCTTCCTTTCCCTGGGACACAGGTTTGACTTGGGAAGATATCTTTCTAAGTGCACATTTTCAATTGAATCACAGCTCAGGGACAGGGAAAGTTCCAGGAGTCTGCATCTCAGGAGTCCTCCAAGTTGTTCCCCATCAGTCCCTCAAAGTCCCCTTGGAAATTGGCTCAAAATGAATAACACAAAGTAAAACCATCCTGGCATTGTCAACAGGTTAGACATCATACCTTCTTGTTCTTTCAAAAAGGAGCTGCTAACAAGCACCAGAATCTACCTGGCCCTTGGACCTCTGGAAGGGAATAGGAAGGAAGCCTGTCCTCCTTTCCGCCTGAGGGAAACAGACTCCTAAACCAAACTAACAAAACGAAGACAATAGCACGTGACAAGCAGAAGAATGTGCAAAGTGGGAATCCCAAGCAGAATGTAACCAGCTCAGCTGGGAGTGTCCAAGGAAGGCTTCACACACACATAAAAGGGGTGTGACTCGATGTATGCTTCTAAGCATAAACAAAGGTTTGGTGAGCGGAAAAGAGGAATATGTATTCCAGGCACCAGGAACAGCATAAGCAAACACCCAGGGGCAAAAGCATTTCAGATGAGGTTGGGGAGAAATCATGGGTAGTCAGAAGGGCCCAGGAATCTGGTTCCTTTCTTTACATATGAGAATTCCATTAAGGATACCCTTGTACCTCACCGATTAGACAAGAGTTGGAGTAGAAGTGCCTCTGGTCTCAGTGGACTTTTACAAAGCTTGCGATTCAGATGTAGCAGGCTTCTGTTCTTGTCCTTATGTCCATGAACTCTAAAGGACTCAGAAATCTTAAGTTCAACGCCACAAAATGTTAACGATTTAGCTTTCTCTTGGTTAATCCAGTCTGCATCCTCCCCATATTCCTCTGCTTAGCAAAGCCCATCCTTAGGAACCTGACCTCCTCCAGGTTTCCAGCCCATTCTCCACTTAAAAGGAGGCAGAGTTTGGATATAGTATTTTCCCCGTGCCAAATAGCATAGTAAATTCATGCTTGACATATTTGTGTGCAACACGCATTTGAAGAATCTTCTAGAATCATGTTCTGGAAATAAGAGACTGCCAATAGCCAGGCCCTGATTTGCCACGCCCTGAAGTGGAGCTTTCTAGTAGAGTCATTCATGCAGTTTCTGGTTCTACCTTTGATATTCGGGAAGTTTTTTCTCTGGTACCTGAGAAAATTAAACCACTCCATTTCTCTCCAAGTTTCCAGCATCAAGATGGGATTGAATCTCTGTCAGGTATCAGCTTTCAATGTGATGAATGGGCTCTTCGCTTCTGCCTTCACGTCTGGAAGGTCCAGATCCCCAACTGGGATCACTGATCCACCTGGGGAAACGGCATTTGACAGACCCACAGCTTCCTGGGGCCACTGGGGATCAGGTTGCAGACAGGGCTCGGGACAGGAAAAAAAATTAACATCTTTTTGCTCAATCTAGATGTCATTTGAAACAATACTCTTCAAGCTCTCTACCCTGGGGATTTATTAAGTTATCCGCAAGCAACTCTGAAATAAACCACACTCATGGCTTTATGTTCTTTCCCTGTCCCACCTCAACCCAGGCTTCTCCCCCATTTAACCTGCTACATTCCAGGTAGGAAAGAGGGAGGACAGGACCTGTGGTCTGACGATCAGAGTTCAAATCTCCTCTCAACCAAGTTTATTATTATGTGGTTTCAGGCAAAACTCTCTGAAGAGCCTGTTTTCTCACCTGCAAAATGAATGTGAAAGCACTTCCCAGGGTTGATTGATTGATTTATTCATGTATTATTCCTCTAATTCACTGTATGCTTCTGTGCCAGACCCAGTTCTAGAGGCTGGGAGTACAGAGATGACTCTCACCTGTCCCTGCTCTCTGGAGGTCAGATGAGAGAATGAACGCAGCCATTGCTTTGTAAATCACACGACACCACGCATCTTAATTATCCGTCCTACTACAGTGGTCTGACACTCAAAATGCTTGTAATAGGAAATTACAACAATGATTAAGAGTGAAGGCTTTGGCGCGAGACTTGGGTCACTTACTAGCCGTGTGACTAGCATAAAATCCTTAAGCTCTCTAGACTTGGTTTTTTCATCTACAAAATGGGAACAATAACAGTTCTTTCTTCAGAGGGCGGTTTGAAGGAGCACATGGAATAACGCACCTGAAATCATTTAGAGAACTGGTTGGCACTTATAAGTGCTCGAGAACTGTTAGCTATCATTGTCATACTCATTCTCATTAGGATGATAATGATGTTCATTATTTTAAGAGCAGACAATCGAGCACAGCAGTCCAAAACCACTTTCCTCGCCCCCGGAAGGAGATGAGAGTGAACGAACTGGTGCATTGACGCGCGCCTGGAGTGCCACGTGGTGACATGGGTTTCTCCTGTTTATCCCTCGAGGCTTCCTTTCAGCGTCTTCTTCCCCAGCAGCTGCTCTGTCAACAGTCCATATGCTGCCTCGGCTACGAAGCAGCTTTCAAGAGGGGGCTGCCAACCCCGTAGGAGAACTTTGAAGACAAGTTCAGGGGCACGCGTGCTGGGGCGGCAGTCACCCAGCCCCCGTGAGCCTTGGGCCCTCCCCTCCCGCCCGGCCTCCCTGCACCCCTTCTGGTGGCGGAAGTGGAAGGGAGGGGGGCGCAGGCAGCCGGGCCTGGTTCCGGAGAGGGTGTGCGCGTGGCAAGGAGGCCAGCTGGAGGAACAGGAGGGGACAGATGCCATGGGGGCCCGGATTTGTTCCTGCAGGAAGAGTGCAAGGAGCTAATTGTTTAATTACCCAGGAGCGGCTTCTTCGTGGCCCTGCCACGCCGTGTGGAAAGAACTCCAGTTTGTGCCTGTCAAACAGTCGGTGGGCGGCTCTGGGAAGGAAAGGGAAGGCGGTCCTGAGCCTGGATTTCTTCCAGCCTTGTGCTGCAGAGTCACTTCTAGCTCTGGACCCTGAAGCCTTACAAATACTGCTTTGAAAAATTCAAGCATAGGCGCTACATCCCTTCAGCTTAGCTGGCTGTTGGAGAAAATTATACCCGGTGCTTTTCTCTCCCCCCACATCACCCTCAACATAAACACGCACACACACCCCTTATACCCTGCCATTGGTCATTTCCTAGTTTCCAATCCATTCTGTAAACTATGCAAGTCCTTGGGTCCTGGCTTGGTTCTTTCCTACGCGGGTTCCCAGCATTTTCCTACTGTCAGGACTTTGCTATGCTGGGCACGCCATCTATGTGCCCTTTTTACGCAGCCCTTTGTAACCAGGGCCTTCTGCATCATCCTTCAGGAGGCAGTTTTGCACCCTGTAGTCCCAGCTATTTGGGAGGCTGAGGAGGGAGGATCACTTGAGCCCAGGAGTTTAAGGCTGTAGTGAGCTGTGATTGTGCCTCTGCGCTCCAGCCTGGGCGACAGAGTGAGGCCCCATCTCTAAATTAAAAGGAAAACATCCACCTTTCCTTAGGCTGTCATTATATATAATATGATATGTACATACATATTATGTTTCCTGTCTGTCTTTAATTTCAGACTATTTTGTATGAAAAGAAAAGTAATTGGCCTCTGTACAGCACCTTCCTTTGTACAAGAGATTTCCACTCACACTCTTCCATCTCTACCTCCTAAGTGACAACCTTGTGAAGTGGGCAGTGTCCACTCCACAATGCAATCCGGTGGTAGATAAGAGTATTTACAAATCACTCTAACATGCTGTGTACCTTGGGGTAGCCCTTGAAACATGGGAGACTAGACCTTATTTAGCCCTTGCAGACACATTTCTCAAGTCCTAGCAGTTGGCCACTGCTGGAATCACCCTTTCCAGGCTCCTACCATCCCTTCAGAGAATTCTGGCCTCATAATCTCACACCCAAGACATATGAGTGTAACAGTAGGAACTGCATGGGTTGTATGTAAAAAAGATACAGTTACCATGTGTTTAACCACATCTGTAGGTGCTTATTTTTTCTCACATAACAATTCTAGATTGCCACCTCATAGTTGCAAGATAACCGCTCACTTCTAGCTGCATACTCATATTCTCTAAGGAAAGGGGGAAAAAAGGAAGCAACAAGATGGAAGAGGCAGTCACCCTATCAGGAAAGCAAAGTCCCCAAAATAACCAGCAGGTTTCCAGTTACATCTCTCTGACCAGTACGTGTCATATGGCTACCCTCAACTGCAAGGGAATCTGGGAAATGTAGTTGTTTAGTTGGGCATCTTGTCAACCCAAACAATATCAGCGTTCTATAAATAAAAAGAAAAGGGAGAAGATCACGTGTGGTGATCTTAAGGTGTGCCTTCCTCACAAGAGAATAGGCTCTAGGATGTCAAGGAACATATCTGTTTATGCTCATGATTTTTGTCCCAGAGCCAAGCCCAGTGCCTGGCACACAGTGGGTGCTCTATAATATGTTTGAAATGGGGGAGTGAGCCTGGGCAACATGGGGAAACCCCATCTCTACTAAAAATACAAAAATCAGCCAGGCGTGATGGTGCATGCCTGTAGTCTTAGCTACTCAGGAGACTGTGGCAGGAGGATCACTTAAGCCCTGGAGGTCGAAGCTGCAGTAAGCTGTGATTGAGCATTCCAGCCTTGGTGACAAAGCAAGGCCCTGTCTCAAAAAGAAAATAAAAATAATAAATGGAGGAATTAATGAATCAATGAAATGACTGCTAAAGTCGTCATTATTAAGGTATTTTAATCTCTAAATGGGCTTAAATCTCAGGCCCCTAAAACCCTTTCACACATCTGGTATTTGCCAAAGTTAAAACGTTTCCAACACTCCAGCTTCTTCCCGTGTCCTCTGTGTTCTCTGTGTGTCACTTGGATAACCCCTAACACCCATTATCAGGTCACAATAAATCAAATCTGCAGCATTTCATTCTGGGTTACCTGGAATATAGCTCTCATATTCATAAATTAATAGCCAATTATGGAGCATGAGATAAATAATCCCCAGCATCAATACATATCATCCATAATTACAAAGACAGGATCAGGTGTATTCATGCATAACACTTGGCTGGAATTCCCATTTTTAATGCAGGTATTTATTGCCACATACATATCATTTTGAGGAAAGGGTAGTTTTATACCTTTTGATAGAAAAGACACCTACATAGATAAAGCCCTTTCATAAAATGCTGTAAATTTGATAAATGAATAAAAGCATAAAATTTAGCCAGAAGTTTTCTCTTGGATGAATGGGTTTTTAAATACTTACAGTGTGTTTTTAAATAACAGAAAAAAATAGGACACCCCAATCAGATCTGGAAACCCTCAAAAAGAGATCGCATTTTAGGTGAACTGTTTATAGAAAAAGCTGGCTTTCATTAACTTAAACCTCCAGGAATTGGCTCTGTGGGCTCTGGGAGGCAAAGATAGTCCCAGGCCATTCCAGCAGAGGTCAGGGGGTTTGATGACCTCTTCTTTCTCTAATAGACAGCAGTGTCTCAGCGTGAGAGCTGGGGATACAGGGTCAAAGCTGAGGGTTTTCTGTGTTCTTAATGGTGCCCAGCAATGGTGTTGACTAATCCATTAACTTAACCCACTAACCGTACTTCATTACAATACATTCAGAATTTCACTGAAAGACACATGGGTTCTTCAGGAAATTCTTACTCCTTGAACCTCAGTTTCTTCATCTTTTCTACAAAAAGAATAAAAGTAGCCATTCTGTGTGCCTTTCCAGTATGGTTGTGAGGATCACATAAAGAGAACATGAAGCAAACTATCATACCCATCATCTCACATCATTACCCATTTGTGTGTGTGTGTGTGTGTCAAGAGCAGCTAAAATCTACCCATTTAGCAAGAATCCCATACATGAAAACATGGTGTAGATGGTAACACGCTATGCCAGTAAGAGAGGTTTTTAGAATGGGTAATGATTTTTACAGGAAGTATCTTAGTGGGATTGTTTGGGTTGGGGATCGTACATCCCCAGCACTAAACATGGCATATCTGTTGGATAGCAATGGGATGCAGGGTTGTACTCACTTACACTCGAGTAAGGAAGGACCATTGTCCCATAAATAGGGGCTGTGTGATGCCCAGGAGTCTGGATGTGTGAGCTCTCCTTCTGCACCTGCCACTCTCTTATCCTGTATGTTTGAGCTAGTTATTTTCATGCTGTGAATCTGTCTTCTCATCTGAAAAAATGGAGGTGTCAAACTAACAAATCTCTGGGGAGCTGTTCTGGCTGTAACATAGTAATTCTGATGCTACGGAATCCAGGATCCCAGTGTGTGGTGGGATCAGGGACCTGTTCAGATGGACATCCACCCTAACGCCATCTGAGACCCTTTCTGGCTGCCCTTGCCCTGCTCATCAATGTCTCTCAGAAGATCTTCTCTAGCCTCTTGAGGGTCCTCCCCGACCAACTCAGGAACCTTGACAGCCTCTGAGACCAGCCAAGTTAAGGGTCTTAGGACAGGGCTGAAACACCACCTCTGTCTCAAGTTTGGTGTTGTCTACCAAGAGCCTGACTGGGGGACATCAAGGCAACCTTCCCTGAATTCATCAAACAGTTCCAAAAGCCTGCAAACAGGTGCTGGCTTTTTAAGAGAAGTAATTTCTGTGGCTCTCCACTCTAGCCACATTAGTCATTCAAGTGTTAAGGGACAATATAAATTCCTGTCTTCCTAGTTTATGTGACCACTAAGATTTATTCCAAACGACAGGTCATTAATGTTTCTTCTCTTATTTTTTTTCTCAGATTCACTGAAAATTCATATTTCTGCTTCATTATAGACTGCTAACAGCTATGCTTTTGGTCAGAAAGTCAGCAATAAATCTGAATTTAATAAACTGACAAAAGATCACTATCCCAGAGACGGTCTGAGCCCACATTCCTCCTTTCCTTCCATACAAATGCTTTTATACTGATGTATCTTCCACATAAAAGCTACACTCACCATCTTAATAGTCACCTTCCCGCCACCCCCTTCAATGTTTTGCCGTTTTAAGGCTGACTATATAATTATGGATTGTCAGAGCCTGAAGGCCCCACAACAATCGCAGTGGGTGGGGAAAAACCTGAACTCCAGGCTCAGCCATTCCCCTGCCATGCGACCTTGGACACATGCTGAGCCTCAGTTTCTTTATCCATAGAATGGAAATCATAGTCCTCATCCCATCTGCCTCTCAGGGGACCATGAGGATTAGATTCAAATGACAGCAGGGTGGAAACCATGAAGCTCTATGCAATGGGGGGTCAGGGATTGTGACTGCTTTTTAGTTGCAAATGTTCAGCATGTTAGAGCCAACACGCATGTTAGAGATTCTTCACTTTACAAAAGAACACTGAGGTAGCAGCAAGTGGACCTCAGGGAACCAGATTCTCCTTTCAGGTGTTTTTTCTACTACACAATAGTCTCCCCCAAATCTCACCTACTTGCTGTTGAAAAAGGGTTTAGAGGAGGAGTTCTCTGAAGTTTCCTGGAACGCCTCACCCCACTACAGATTGCTTGGATAAGGAGGCTCTAAGAACTTTCTGGCTGGGACCAGAGTCATGATCATATCTTTGTTCACCTCCAATCAGTTGTGAGTACCTTGAGGGAAATTCTTGTATAGAGTAGGCATTAGGGAATGACTATTTGAATGAATTCTGAATTAATCCAAGGGGGCTAATGTTCTGGCTAAACTCCCAATAGCATTATGGGTTATTGGGAGGCACCTATCCTAAGATCTGATCATCCCTTCCAGAAGGCAGCAAAACTATCTCTTAGAAAATGGAAAGCCTAACCCCTTCCTTTCGGGGACTTTCAGATGCACGCTAAGAATTCCAACTACTGCACTCCCCAAAACTGTGGACCAGAATGAGGACTTTTAGGAGACTGGCATGCAGACAAATACATCAAGCCTTCTATAAACTTCTACCTTCAAACTCTCTATAAACTTCTGTCTGGCTTTGTAAATAACAACCATATAAGAATGTTCCCAATAAACACTGGAAGCAGAAATGAATAGACATTTCCGAGGACCTGTT